TTGGATCTCATAATATTTTAGGTAAATAATAGACCTTAAGATGAGTAGTTAGACTTGTAGTATGCTGGATTTGGAGTTTTCAAGGCAAAGTTATGAATTTTCTAAGTTTCGGGTCCTAAACTATAGGCTGGGATTGACCAAAACGTTGACTTTATAATTTAAGTGGGTTTCTAGAATCCTAATATTTCTAATAAATACTAGACCCTAATAGGAGTCTAATACAAGAGATTTTGCCTAATTTTGAATTTTTTATAATTAGTTATGAATTTTTTAAGTTCAGGCTATTTATAGAATTATTTAAATTATCTAGTTCAGGGCTGATTTTATATTTTTGATCCAAACTAGCTCCAAAATGATTGGAATCACTCCAAAGGTCAGGAATGACCTGATAAAATGTTCCCAAGTGTTTGGGGAAAATTTAGAATTTTAAATAATTTTTAATGATTTAGTGAGGGCAAAAAGGTAGTTTCCACCTAAGGTTAAATTAAGGGTCAACCTAGAGTTAAACTAAGGAGCCCTATTTATCTAAGGTTGGGGATCAGATTATGAATAGTTTGAGGTATGGTAGATAATTTTCTGAGTTTAAATGTATTTATTGTAATTTTTAAAAGGCTACATAGCTCTATTTAATAGGTTAATTAGGGTTGGTTAATTAAGGAGTCTAAAAGCTCCTAAAAATTCCTAGAAAATTTTGAAATGTTTATGATGTCACTAAGTTTAGATATTGAAGTTTTCATGTAAATCAGGGATCTATCCTAGCCCCTAAAAAATTTCTACGTTCGCTAGACGGGTCCTTAATTATTGTCCTTAGGGTGTCACTACATTATAAAGGTTTAAAGTGAAGTTTTAGCTAACCCTAAAGATAACAATGCAAGGTAACACACAAAAGCAGTAAACACACCAGGTCCTAAGATCTAGGAGAGCCTAAACTAGGTGGTGGTGCACCCTACACATGTAAACTATGAATAACAAGAAAGTAGGTACACCTAAAAAAGATATTAGTGAATGATTGGGGGACTCAACCATCCACTAATCCACTCCCCCATAATTGCCCTTCACACATAAGATCCATATTTAAAATTTCATTTGGTAGATATCTCAACATTAAAGTAATTTAAAAATATATAGTTTAAAAGGAGTTAAAAGTACACACAGATATATATATATATATATATATATATATATATATATATATATATATATATATATATATATATATATAATATATTATAGTATATATTATATATATATAATAATATATATATATATTATATAATATATATATTATATATTATATATATATATATATATATATATATATATATATATATATATTTAAAAAAATAATTGTTAATTAAATATAGATCAATCATATGTATATGAGGGATCCGACTAAATTCACACCATGGCGAGGGTTTTCAAAACTTAGTTTGAAAAGAATTATTTTTAATTGATAAATAATTGATAATATCAATCTACTAAATATATATTAAAATACCTAAAACAAATAACAATCCAAAATACAAATCTTCCAGAATATTTGGAATATACTCGTCTGGAAATAATTTAAAATCTGAAAGTTCATATATTGTTTTGAAAAAAAAAAAAACTTTCGACTGGTTTACACACACGAATTCTCATTTTAAAATGAATAGTTGATTTTTTTGATTTTGACAAGATTAAAAGATAACTTTTATCATAGTTTTAAAAATAATTATAAAGATACAAATTAAAGTTAACAATATTTAAAGTTGTTGAAAAATTTCAAATAATTTTTTTAAAATAAAATTATCTTAAATTTAAAATTTGATTTATCAATTGCTTAAACAACATCAAATACAATATGACTAGCTAAAAAAACATTAAATTAATAAGCAATATTATAATATTTAGAAAAGAATGAAACCATAAATATTAAAGTTAAACTTAAATGAAATTATAAAATTATGAGATAAATAGAAAATATAATAATAATTATTAATTCCAAGCATTAGAGACTTAAATTAACTTTTTATTTGAGTTAAATATTTATTAAAAAGAACTATACAAATACAGCGCAATTATAAACCAATATAATTAATAAATAATTAAAATAACAAACTACTAAAAATATGTAGAAATTGATAATGATTATAATAATTAAAGATAATCACAAAGATAGTAACTAAACTACTAAAATAATAATTATTATAAATATTACAATTAAAATAATTATGATAATAATATAATAATTATTATTATTTAAAAATCGAATAATAAAATAATAAAAGAAAATTGGATTTTTACTATTTTTGAAATATTTTAAAATGTACTTTAAATATTTGAATTAAAATAATTTTAAAATAAAGAGGCCGAGAATACGAACAATTTGATATATTGCAAACGAAAAATGAATCAAAAATGAATTTTTTATGGTTTTTTAAGCTAAAATAGGTTTTAAAATATTTAAAATACTTATTTTATTTAAAATCGATGGCTAAGGCTACGTGGCGGACCCTGAATGGTCTGTTTAAAATGCGCGGTGGCTACCAATCATTGGAAATGATTGCACCGTCGTGCAATCATTGCCAATGATTGCGGCGACGCAATCACTTAGCCATGCCAGCCCGTGACGCGGTCTGTTGGATCCCCCGCTGTGTGGGACGAACGGCTCAGATGGAGCCATATCCCGAACGAGGCTGCAGGCTCAACAGATCGGTCGGTTGGATCCATGGTCTGACCGAATCTGTATTGTTGATTTATGAGATCAACGGTCCAGAAGACCACAGAGGGATAATCAGCTGGACCGAAAACCCTATTACATTTTTTTGTTCGTTCTCCAGATCTAGACAACGAAATTAAATAAAATTTTAAACGAAAGATCCATGCATGAAGGGCATCGATGGGGAAGCACTTGTTTGGCTTAAAATCTGCTTTTCGAAATGCTATTTAACCCTAAGTGTATTGAACTATCCTAAGGGATTTTGAGAAATATTATCGTTCGATCTTCAAATTCTCGACACGGTTGAACTTGTGGATTGTCCTCGTACATTTTCCCTATTGAACTCGAGCTCCAGTTCATCCTCGATTGATAGGAAATCATCTTGGAAGTGTCCTAGCCTCAGCTCGCCACCGGAGAGGTCTTCATGTCGGGGTTTGCTTGGAGGACATGGCGGAGGGTCGTGAAACCCCAAAACCGAGAGCTCACGGCTTGGTTTGGACTAGACAATCCAAAGGATTGGTTGGTGAACCGTTGCTCCAGGCTATACGAAAAAAAACACCGTTGAATGGTGCCGATAATGTTAGCAGCCATCGCCCGAGGGGAGCTAGTCATTTTGCCGAACTTGGTTGCATTCCTATTTCCCCAACAATGAAAGATAGCCCCGCAATATAAAACCGCTCAGCGGTCCTTAGCCGTAGAAGCACCCCTTAAGGCGAGCTGGAGCTCATCAAACGAAGAGAATATGGGAGTGGTGAAACCCCAGCTCGCCAACCAGCCCAGAACCTCCCCTAACCGCCTGCACCGCGTTGTTATATGGTCCCTATTCTCCTCTTGATTGCAACCCAAAGGGCAGGCCGTATCCAAACAAAGGCCACGGCGAGCCAGCCACGAACCAGTAGGGATCAAATCCTTATACACCCTCCAGCAAAAGATCCTCACATGGGGCCTCAATCCAAGTTTCAGGATGGGGCGACTAGGATCCTCCTCCTCATGGAACAAGTTGTTGTAGCAGATGGCCAAGACGGAAGAGCCGAGGGGGCATTTGGTCAATTCAAGTGTATTCGCCAACAGATCCGTCCAGATTTTAACATCACAAATCCTATCCACCAAAGCCTCACCAAAAAACATCAGCAGCAGTGGTTTATTCCAGTTCCGTTCAGCCGTAATGAATTCTTCCACCGTGCAATCCTGGGCAATATCAACATTACAGAACGTGGGCCAGCGAGACATGGCCGTGTCCAAAATCCACACATGGTTAAGCACATCCACGTCTGAGCCCGTGCAAATCCTTTACCTGACACAACCCGACAGGCTTGCCGCCCCACTGCAAATCACTTTCCATCCAACAGAGTGCCCACGTTTGTGATCCTGCGCCCAAGGCCACCCCCTGTACTTATGCCCCAGGCACCTGCTGAGAAGACTTTGCATCTTGTTTAAGAAATCCCAGGTGATCCATGCCCTCAACGGGCTAGTCTAGTTACTACTATCATGAAAACCCAAGCCGCCCAATCGCCTGGGCCTAGCGAGGCTCCCCTACGGCGCGTAGTGCAAGCTCCTATGCTCGGCATCACGGTCCCATAGGAAACTACGACAGATACTCTCAATTTCAGTTAGAACCCCCCGAGGAACCAAAGTATGTGACACTGCGTACACAGAAAGGGGGAGTAACACGGAATTAATCAGGGTGATGTTGCCGGCCAACGATAAATGACGAATACCCCAAGAGAGGGTGTGGCCCCGAATCCTTTACAACAGCGGGCCAAAGTCCACTTTACTCAGTCTTCTCAGTGTGAGCTTGATCCCAAGGTACTCCATCTCCTCCACCATATGGTATCTTGCAAGCCTAGCAAGACGAGACCTGGTAGAGGAAGCGGTAGTTTTGCCAAACAAAATAGCAGATTTGTTCTTGTTAATCTTCTGACCCGTCCAGGCGCAGTAATCCTCCAGAATCGATAAAACCATCCTTACATTAGGGATGGTGGCACCTGCAAAACATCATCAGCATAAAGGAGGTGGGAGACAAGAGGTCCCCCCATCCGGATCTGCAGTCCCAGCTCGGGATAGTTCTGATGGAAGTGCAACGATAGAGCTCCGAGCAGATAATAAACAAGTACGGGGATAGCGGGCACCCCTGCCTGAAGCCACAACCGGCCATAATACTCTCCGTCAGCTGGCCGTTGACCAGAATCGAGAAGCGGGGTGCACGAACGCAGCTCAACACCCATGCACAGAAACGTTGAGGGAAACCCATTCTTACCAATATAAGTTCGAGCGTCCTCCAGCTCATTTTATTGTAGGCCTATTCCATATCGGCCTTCATAGCAAACCACCCCGCACCAGCCTTTGAAACTTTAAACTTATTCATTATCTCCTGGCCCAACAGACAATGGTGCGAAATAGATCTTCCGGGAACCAAAGCTGCTTGCTCCTCCGAGATAAGTCTGGGCAGAATACCATTCATGCGGTTAACCAAAATCTTAGCCACAATCTTTTAGATGATTTGACAGAGGCTAATAGGTTTGAACATGGACGGATGCTCCGGATTAGTAGTTTTAGGAAGCAGGATAATCACCGTATCCTTCCAGCTCGGTTCCATAATCCCAGTCCGAAAAAAATCCAGACAAGCCAGAGAGACTTGTTCTTCCACAATGTCCCAAAAATATTTGAAGAAAGAGGCCGTAATGCCATCCCTGTCGGGAGCCCGATTCTGCCCCAAAGAACCAACCGCTTGCCAAATATCCTCACCAGTAACCTCCCTATCCAGCTGTGCAGTAGCCTGAGCTAAAATAGCGGAATGGGAGCCCAAGTTCGGCCACCCCAGTTCCTCAATGCTATTCCCCTTCCACTTTTGTTCAAAGAATCCCTGAACCATTTCAACAATTTTATCATGCTCGGAAGTCAATTGCCCGTCCGAAAGCCTCAGTTGAACAATGCGATTAGAGGGCCTTCTCGCAGAGGCCATAGAATGGAAGAAACGAGAGTTGTCATCCCCTTCCTCAATCCACCTTACCTTCGCACGTTGCCCCCACCAAGTCATAATACGGGTAAGAGTAGAGTTTAGCAATTGAACCTTATACCTCAGAGACTCATTCTGAGTTTCTGGCAGCCCTGCCGGTGAGCACTCATAGTCCTGCAGAGTATGAATCTCCTTGTCCAGCATTTCCTTAAGCTGATTTAGCTCCTTGAATTTGTTCTTGCTCCAAAAGAACAAGTCCCTTAGAGACCGTTGGCATTTTTTGTGCAATTTGGCCACCTCAGAACCCAGGTCGGGTAACTTCCATTTGTCCAAAACCAATTTCCACACCACTGGGTAACTGGCCCAATAGTCCTCAAATTTCATCCACCGTGAAGGTGTCCTCCTGACCTCCTCACGCAGCGAGCAGAGAATAGGGCAGTGGTCAGAGGCCAGACGAGTGAGATGTCTGACCGAAAGTCCTTGAAAGGAGTCCAGGATACTCGAGCTAACCAAGAACCTATCCATCCGGGAATAAATCTGGCTCCTCACATCCTTGTTGTTAGTCCAAGTAAAGGCCGGCCCGGAAAACCCCGGATCAACTAACTCATTTGCCATCATGAAGTCCCCCATTTCGCTGGCCGCAGCAGAGAAATGGAATGGCCTACCACCTTTCTTCTCCTCCTTGGCCATAATATAATTGAAATCCCCCCACCAACAAGGGGGAGTTCACCGTGTGTTGCAACGAAATCTGGTCCCACACCTATCTTCTGGCGTACCTGTCTTTGTCTGCATAAACCACAGCAACCTCCCAAACACCTGCACCTGTAACATGAAATCTACCCATAATGCACTGATTAGTTTGAGCAAGCACCTAAAAAGAGCCCATCGAACTCTTCCAAAGAACCAGAATGCCACCAGCCCTCCCGACCGAGGGCTGAAAGCAGAAATCCCAATTTCATCCAGCTAACCGATCCACGTCAAGCCTAGAGAAAGTCTCAAGCTTGGTCTCAAGAAGACCAACAAAACAAATGTCCAGTTCCCCAAGGAGATGCCTTAGGTAATTGCCCGTCTCATTATTACGGGCCCCCCGACAATTCCAACAAAGGAAGCTAGGCATAATTCACCAAAGGGGAAGCGTCCCCGCCGCACATATCACGAGAGTTGGCATGATGACCATGGTCCTAAAAATCAGGCCCCCTGGAACCTCCCTCTGTCGGTTTACCACAAGATCGGTCCAATATATTAATCAGGTTGGCAGCACCATCCATATTTGGGTCCCTACCTGTGGCCTTATCCCTCCTCACCCAAGGTACTTTCCGTAGGGGCTCAAAGCATTTGATCTCCTTCGTGAACCGAGCTTGAGCTTTCCTCTTGGGCTCACTACTCGCCTTAGTCACCTTGGACTTGCAATCAGAGAAATGAAGCACCTTAGGCGCGAGGCTCTGTGCAGGAGAGGCCACCAAGGCCATACGCGAGCACAAGCTCCACCGAGCCCCATCCCGTGGTCGCTCAGCATTACCAGTATCTTTTATGTCCCCAAGCAATTGTCCATTAGGGAGAAAACATTCCCGTTCCCCCTCAGCCTTAGGCAGGGATGGCACCTTGCCATCGTCCAAAGGGACACCTCAGGATCCCGTAAGCAGTACTTGTTGTTGAGAAATTTCCATAGCTTTTGCCTCTTCCAGTTTACCACCAGCATTCAATTTAACACCCTCCGTGGTCCCCTCCATATTCATAGGCACATTAGTACCCATAGACACCTGTTCCGCCTGAGCTTTGGCCACTTCTTTCCAAATGGTTTTCCGATCATTCGTGTTAAGCCGAGCAGAACCTCTGTTGTTATTCGATTGCGGAATGTTCCCACCGTTAGCGGGATTTGGTCGCCTCCGTCGCGTGACAGTCGTCCATTCCCTAGCATCATTGTCAATAGTCATGGATATATCACCATCCCGATTTTTCCTAGAATTAGATGGGCCATTACAATCCCGGTCCCTGCACATATCCTTGTCCACCCTCAAAGCATTTAGTTCAGCCTACTTCTGCCCCACAGTTTCTTTCTTCACATGCTGTTGAGGTTGTCGAACATCCTCACTACAATCATCACCCCGGTGGCCAACCTTACCACATTTCAAGCATATCAGCGGGATTCCTTCATATTCGATCAGTTGGAAGAACGTACCACCCATACCCTGCGCCCACACCCCCTTCGGTAGTCTCTTTAATAAATCCAGACAAACACAAATCCGGGCGAAAGCACATCGATTCCACAGTTGCGTCTATTCATTCATAAGTAACGGTTCACCAATTCCTGCAGCCAAACGGCAAGGTTGGCCTCGTCCCAGTATTGCAGGGGGAGGTTTGGAAGTCTAATCCAAATCAGAGACGTGAACTTCCTCACCGACATGGGCGAGAGCCCAGTCGTCCATTGTTCCACCCCAATGATTTGTCCGTATACGTACCAAGGTCCCCCAATAAGAACATTATCCCTAGCCTCCTCATCCTCAAACCAACAAAGGAAACAATCAGACCCCATGGGCATGATTTGTGTCAAGCCAAGTGTCCCCATTTCTGCTGGAGTTCCTTCTGAACCACCCAGAACGGCACCCGTCGGCCTAGAAGGCTTCCAACCAAAGCTCTTCTAAGTTTCCTCATATTACCTCTTGCCTTGGTTAGATCAAGTTTAACCAATCCATCCTCCCTGAGGAACTCCCTGACATCCTCATTTAGGGTCAATGGCACCGTTACACTCTTCTTCCAGGCATTCTTAACAGTCACACCCTTAACTCCCTTATCCCCCACACGCCTGTGGGGACCGACTTCAGCACCAGCCGATGAAGACACTCCACCGGCATTTCCCCAAACACTTGGAGTGCGTGGTTGATTCATTCCAGGATTACCACCCTCAGAAATAGCCCGTTTGCTCCAAAGAAGAACTTCCTCATCCGAAGATTTGGATTCCCTCACAATAACACCCCCCACACCAGGCTCATATGGGGGCGTGTCGATGTTCCCACCGTTGGCCGCCTCAAGAGACTTACCGGTCAGCCTAACCTTGCCCAGATCACAAATCCTACCGACAATCCAAAACGTGAATTGCACCTTCTCCTGCTCAAAGACAAGATTATCCATAACCTTATTAGCACAAACCCTTCCCCCTTGGGTGCCCAGCTCCGGCGCACACGAACCGAGCCCAGCAGCCTGCTGGTTGTCAATGGTCGTCTCATCTTGCTCAGGAGAACCATCAATCTCCACCGGAGTTGTCAGCCCCGAGCTCGCCCTCACCTCCATCAGGAACTCTTTCACCTTAGTTTCCCCCACAATCTCTATATCCTCTCCTGTGTCAGGAGAGACCAGAGAAACCGCATCATGAGCTACCACAACCGGCGATAGCACAGTATCCATCATGTTTCCAACCGCCTCCATATCGCCCATCGACCTCCTCGCCGAGCAAGAATCCTCCAGCCTAGAGCCATCCTCGTCCAACGGGGGTCTGGAATGCCCTTTACCGCCTCCTCTAGTGGTTCCACTAGAGACATTCTATCTGTAGCCCTTATCCAAGCTATTACTGCCATCGGATCCCCTCTTACCTGCCTTAGTAGGAGACCGTACATAGACAAGCGGTCGCTTCTCCTCGTCACAAGCCAACAAAATCTTTTGCTCCCTAAGAGAGAGTCTCCTATCGTCGAAGATTCCCCCAGCGGAAACCCCACCACCGGATCTCCCCCCATCACCTTTAATTGCCCTAATCTCAGATCTCCGTCCCCCCCCAGCATCCTTCCCTCCGCCGCTCCTAAGCGAGTTACGTGGGGGTGACCGTCGGTCACCCCCCACCATACCCTACGAGCAGCCCGAATCAAACGTCACCGACAGAACTCGCAGCCGAGAGCAGAACCCTCAGGCGAAAATGTGCGTTCCCAAGAGAAGGAGAGGGAGAGAGAGAGAGAGAGAGAGAGAGAGAGAGAGAGAGAGAGAGAGAAGAGAGAGAGAGAGATGCAAGAGAGGGAGAGAGAGAGAGAGTGAGAGAGAGATAGAGAGAGAAGCAATAGAGGAATAGAGAAAGAGAAAGAGAGAGATAGAGAGAGAAAGAGAGAGAGAGAAAGAGAGAAGAACTAGAGGAATGGAGAGAGAATAAGAGAGAGAGAGAGAGAGGAATGGAAAGAGAGAGAGAAGCACTAGAGGAATGGAGAGAAAATGAGAGAGAGAGAGAGAGAGAGAGAGAGCGAGAGAGAGAGAGAGAGGGAGAGAGAGAGGCAATAGAGGAATGGAAAGAGTGAGAGAGAGGGAGGGAGAGAGAGAGAGGGAGAGAGAGAGTGAAAGAGAAAGAGAGAGAGAGTTAGTGAGAGAGAGAGAGAGAGTGAGTGAGTAAGAGAGAGAGAGAGGCAGAGAGAGAGGGATGGAGAGAGAGAGAAGGATAGAGAGAGATAAAGAGAGAGAGAGATTTAGAGAGAGAGGAATGGAGAGAGGGAGAGAGGGAGAAGGATAGAAAGAGAGAAACAGAGAGAGAGAGATTATGAGAGAGAGAGAGTATTGGAGAGAGGGAGAGAGAGGAAGAGCGAGAGAGAGAGAAATGGAGAGAGAGAGAGAAAAGTAATAAAGGAATGGAAAGAGAGGGGGAGAGAGAGAGAGGGAGAGAGGCAATAGAGGAATGGAGAGAGAGAGATAGATAGATAGAGAGAGAGAGCCAATAGAGGAATGGAAAGCGTGAGATAGAGAGATAGAGAGATCGAGAGAGAAACAAAAGGGGAATTGAAAGAGAGAGAAATTGAGAGAGAAAGTGGGGGAGAGAGAGAGTGAGTGGAAAGGGGGAGAGAGAGATAGAGAGAGAGAGTGGGAGAGAGAGGGAGAGAGGGAGAGAGAGGAGTGGAAAAAGAAAGTGGGGGAGAGAGAGAGAGGGAGTGGAATGGGGGGAGAGAGATAGAGAGAGAGTGGGAGAGAGAGGGGGAGAGAGAGAGGGAGAGAGAGAGAGGGAGACAGGGAGGGAGAGAGAGAGAAGCAATAAAGGATTGTAGAGAGAGTGGGAGAGAGAGAGTGAGAGGGGAGAGTTGAATTTCTGCTTTTGTATTAATCAAAAAACTATTACAAACAAGTAACTATCAAGGCAAAATGCTCAAAAAGAAAAGAAGAGCTACTACTATCTTCCTCAAGAATATCAAGAAATTCTTGAGGAATCCCATTATTACAATCACCAACATCCCAAACAAAAGAATTATCAACTTCTTTCTGAGCACAGTAATGAGCAGCTTTGTTAAACCTCCTATAGGTATGCACAAAAACCACCTTGTGAAACCGCTTCATCCAGCTCCATCTATCCCATTCTTCCAATTGTTGTTTCCACATCTCTCTATATCTGAAATCTTGTATATACTTAACTACACTTGCATTGTCTCCTTCTATGATAAGCACATTGAGCTCAAACATCCATTCTTCAAGTACCTTATCAATGTACTGAAGAGCTGCCATATCAACTTGTGTGGAATCCCAATGATAAATGCTCCAGCCAGCTGCCATGATCACCTTGCAAAAACTGTTCCTTATAACAATCCCTATACCTCCAGCATTTGATCTAAGCAAGGCTCCATCTACATTGACCTTCAACCATCCTGTAGTGGGGGGGGGGGGGGGGGGGAACAAACAGAGTATTTAAACATTAATTTGAAAACAATCCCAAGGATTGAACAGTGTCTCGTTGCTCCAAGCGGAAAGAAAGACAACATTGATTGAGACTTTCTAAAATATTAGATGCCATAACAACAGGTGAGAACTTCTCCTTCCCATGTTTGATCGAATTTCTGTTCAACCAGCAATGATAAACGGAAATACAATAAAGCATCATGCCCATATCCTTAGCATTAGCCTTTTTCTCCAACTCCACCTGCATGTCATATAAAGAAGCAAACCGAGGGGTATTAAAACCCGAACCATCCATAATATCCAAAGTCTCCAAGAGCTGCTTACAATTAATAGTAATATGATTCAAATCTTCAACCACAAAAAATCCAATAGGACAGTTAATATTCACCTCAAAACCCCTATCCTGCAGCCAACTGTTGGTTGGAATAATACTCTTATAAATCCTCCACCAGAACATGCGTTCTCTCGGTCTCAACCCAGCTTTTAAAACTACACACCTCGGGTCATCATCTTCCACAAATCTGCTATTATACACCATAACTGAGATAGTAGTTCCAATGGGTATTTTCAACAGCTCTAATGTGTCTTCATCCAAGTCCTTCCAGATTTTAATTTCCATAATTCTCTCAACCATAATTTTTCCAAAATAAACTAACAATCTTTGCACATTTCATTCTCCACCCAGTGTGATAAGCTCTGAGACATTGAGATCTTCAATTGCTGATATACCACAGAATGTTGGCCACCTCAATATTGATCTGTCCCAGATCCAGACATGATTTAAGATATCAATATTTCTCCTATTACAAACCTTCCACCTAATACAACAACTGGCAGCTCCATGACAAATAAGTTTCCACACAGCCGAGTCACCACATTTGAATTCCTCCACCCAAGGCCACCTTCCATACTTCTTTTCCAAACATTTATGCAGCAGACATGTCGGTTTACTAATATAATCCCATGTGATTCTGGCTCTCAAGGGTCCAACCCAATTAACATTAGCATGAAATATAAGTCCCCCCTTCTTCCTTGTTCTAGCAATATTCTCCCAAGAAGCATAATGGATACCTTTATGGTTAGCATCAGCATCCCAAAGAAAGCTTCTACATATTTTCTCCACCTCATTTAAAGTAGATCTTGGAACCATCGTACGAGTCACCAAATAAGTAGAAGATGGAATCAATACTGAGTTTATTAAAGTGACTCTACCTTCCATAGATAGGTGTCTAATTCCCCAAGCCACAGTTCTAGAACGAGCCTGCTGCAGCAATGGAGCAAAATCTTTTTTAATGAGTCTTTTCAAGGAAAACTTGATACCCAAATATTCCATCTCATCAACCTTCCTACACCCAATAATTTTAGCCAGCCGATACCTTGTAGATGAGGGTGTCGATTTATTGAACAGGATAACTGATTTACATCGATTGACCTTTTGCCCAGTCCAAGAACAATAGTCCTCCAGAATGGACGAAACCTTCTTCACATTGGGGATAGATGCACCTGCAAAAACTAAAATATCGTCAGCATAAAGCAGGTGGGAGACACAAGGTCCCCCCTACTGATAGGTACACCCAACTCCATGAAGTTCTAATGAATATGTGCAGAGAGCAGCTCTGAACATAGAATAAAGAGATACGGTGACAGTGGGCACCCCTGCCAGAACCCACACTCAGCTGTGATCCTCTCAGATAATTTCCCATTAATGAGAATTAAAAATTTAGGATCTTGAACACAGCTCATCACCCAAGAGCTAAATCTAGGTGGAAATCCCATGTGCTTCATAACCAACTCCAAAGTCCTCCAACTCATCTTGTCGTAAGCTTGCTCCATATCCACTTTCAAAGCTAACATCCCTTTGGTAGATTTAGAAAATTTAAATTTATTCATAAGTTATTGTCCCAACAAACAATTATTTGAAATTGAGCATCCTTGGACAAAGGCAGCCTGTTCTTCCGAGATCAGTCTTGGAAGAATCCCTTTAAACCCGTTCATAAGTACTTTTGCAACAATCTTATAGATTGTTTGACATAGACTAATAGGTATGAATTTGGATGGCAGATCTACATTATTCACCTTTGGCAATAACACCACAACCGTCTCCTTCCACTGTGGATCCATAGTACCAGATTCAAAGAATTCAAGGCAAGCACTCAATACCTGCTCTCCAACAATATCCCAAAACATTTTGAAAAATGAAGTCGTTACACCATCTCTCCCTTGAGCCTTATTTTGTCCCAAGGGAACACATTACCTTCCATATTTCTTCTTTAGTAACCTTACAATCCAAAATTCCAGCAAACAAATCTAGATGTTCTCTTTGATTTGCAAGAGAAGGCCACCCATCTTCCACAACCGCATCTCCACGCCATTTCAGCTGAAAGAAATCCTGAAAAACCTTCAAAATCTCACCTTGATCTGTTACCACATTACAATCCAATTGCTTAATAGATTCAATACATTTAGCTCTCCTCCTAGCCGATGCCATGGAGTGAAAAAATGGGTGTTACCGTCCCCATTCTCAATCCAATTCACCTTAGCTCGTTGCCTCCACCATGTCATTATACGAGCTAAAGTACTATTTAATAACTGTACCTTGTATCTCAACGTTTCAGTTTGAATATCAGTCAACCCAACAGATGAACATTCCATTTCTTGTAAAGCTTTGATATCCCTATCCAATTCCTCCTTCAATTGATTTAACATTTTCAGTTTATTTTTGCTCCAAAAGAACAATGCTTTCAGCATCCTTTGGCATTTCTTTTGAAGTTTAACAGACTCATTACCCAAATCCTCAATCTTCCATTTCTCCCAAACTATCTGCCATGCCATAGGGTAACTAGCCCATATATCTTCAAACTTTATCCAATGAGAATAGCTCCTCTTCACTTCCTCCATGATACAACAAATAATGGGACAATGATCTGATGCAAGTCTGGTGAGATGTAAAACCTCAGTCCCTGGAAAGCATCAAGGATTGAAGAAGTAACCAAAAAATGATCCAATCTTGAATAGATCTGACTTATAGCATCTTTGTTATTAGTCCAAGTATGAGAAGGACCAACAAAACCAGGATCAATCAAGTCATTTTTGAACATAAATTCAGCCATATCACTAGCTGCTGGGGAAAAATGAAATGCTCTACCGCCCTTTTTTTCCTCCTTTGCCAATATACAATTGAAGTCTCCCCCCACCAACAAAGGAGAATCCAAAGCATGGAATTTAGAAATATCTTCCCAAAATCCCTTCCTTGTATACCTTTCTTTGTCAGCATAAACCACAGCCACTTCCCAATCTAAAGTATTTGCAATTCTGAGCCTCCCCATTATACATTGATTTGATTGGAAAGTAACATGAAAAGAGACATCAAAACTCTTCCATACTACCAAAATACCACATGCTCTGCCTAAAGCTGGTTGAAAAACAAAATCCCAATCTCTTCCAACAAGTCTATCAATATCTTTTTTGCAAAAGGATTCCATTTTAGTTTCAAGTAAAACAATGAAACTAATCTTATTCTCCTCCAAGATGTGTCATAGATAATTGCCCGTCTCCTTCTTACGAGCACCTCTACAATTCCAACATAAGAGACTAAACATTATCAACCAAAGGGGAAGCGTCCCCACCGCAAAAAATTTCAGAAAAGACCCCTTGCCATTGCTCAACAAAGCCTACCTCTTTAGGTTTGCTATCCATAGATTTATCTATCACATTTACAAATTGTTCAACAGATGATGAAACCAACTCATCCTTCAACTTTTTACTTCTCATAATACCTGGCAATTTCTATAACGGGCCAATAAGAGTCACTTCCTTAGTATGACACTCTTTAGAACTCCTAACTTTCTTATTTTTTCCTTTGAGCACACCAGCTTTATCATCAGAAAACTTCAAAGCTTTAGGAGCCAGAAGCTGTGCAGGGGAAGCCTTGGGTTCTCTGCAGTATTTCTTCTTCAAAACAGGCAATGAAACAGAGCCCAGAGGAATCTATCCATCATGCCTACCAACAGAAACTTGATCAACTTGTGTGACAATATGTTCCATATTCCGCAACATCCCATCAGGATTCTTCAAAACTGGTTGCACTCTAATGTTTTCAACATCTTTCTGCACGCATTGCTACCTAATCTCATCAGGTTCCATCATTTACTGCCCAAAAGACTGCCCAATCCCATCTGCTTCCATAGGTTTCCGCCCTTTTGCAACTTCCCTCCAAACAGTTTTAGATGCAGGAACCGTCACCACGGGCTTAGCATTAACATTTTGAGATTTGTTTCCCACTCTATTATTATTAAACCTTCTCCTCCTTATCATAATTGTCCATTCTCCCATGTCATTATCCACATCTGAAGACTTCTCAAAGGAAGTTGAACTCATACCATTCAAACTAACATCACCGTCATTTTTCTACTGAACACCCATAGACAATCATGAATCAGCAACTTTGATATGATCCTCATCACATTTAGCCTTCTTATCTGTCTCCTTAGCTAGGCCCAAGCTTTCCTTACACAACTCAGCCTTGTGCCTCACCTATCCACACCGCAAACAAATTAAAGGAATCCATTCATATTCAATGGGTTGGAAAATCCTCCCATTAAGACCTTGTGCCCATACTCCCTTAGGAACCTCTTCGATAGATCCAATCTAACACATAGACGAGCAAATGCACATCTATTCCATAATTTTGTTTGCTCATCCATAAAGAGAGGTTCTCCTATACAGCCAACCTTGCAAGATTTGATTCATCCCAATATTCCAATGGGAGATTAGGAAGTCGGATCCAAACAGGGGAAGTAAATCCTTTCATAGATTTTGAAGATAAACCTACAGACCATTGCTCTATCCCAATAATTTGTCCTGCCACGTACCAAGGACCACCAAGCAGAACAATGTCATTTGCTTCCTTATTTTCAAACCAACAAATAAAACAATCTAGTCCCATTGGGTTAATTCGAGTGAGCCCAAGATGTACCCATTTCCTCTGTAACTCATTTTGGACTACATAAAACGGAAGTCGACGACCCAAAAGGCTCCCAACCAATACTCTGTCCAACTTCTGAATGTTGCCCCTGGCTTTGCTTAAATCAAGTTTGACCAATCCATCTTCCCTCATGAAACTACTTTTATCTTAAAATAAATTCAATTGCACTGTTGCAGACTTCTTCCATGCATTAGATGCCAATCCAATATCATTAACCTCCATCTTAACCTGCCGTGAAATTCCAACCCCTTTCGCTTGTTGTTTTGAAGACAAAGCTTCCGAGGAAGCATTCCCCCAAACACCAGGCGTGCATTCAACCAAACTTGGAGAATCATTACAATAAGCCATAACATTTTTCCCCCTAATCAAATGATCAGCATTCTTCACATCAACTTGATTCACAAAACTAAATTTTTGCAATAAGTCTAAAGAAACCTTGTCATTTTGAATATTACCATCCATAAGAGCCTTGTACAGATCACTTATATGACTTCGATTACCAAAAGTAAATATAATCCTATTAGGTTCAAACACTGGATTGTCAATCATCTTGCTTACCACCACCGGTTCCACCTTCAGATCAGCCAAATCACCCTGCTCAGTCCCAATAGTCATGGTACATTGTGCATCTGGGGTCTCATCCCGTACCTTCACACCTTCAGAAGAGACAAACTCCTCCTTCTCCATAGCATCCATCATCACAGCACATTCTGAAACAACAGTTGCTCCATTCAAACCTTCAGTATCCCAGATCAGATCAATCAGATCCAACGATCTAGCACCTTCATTTACTTCTCTAATGAAATCCTCAGCTTCACTGCCTCCCAGAATCTCCATGACCTCATCCAGATCTGATGAGTCATTCATTGACAAGTCCCGATCTCCAGCTTCAATGCCCCCCTCCGCATTTGATCCCATATCCAGCTCCTCACTGGAATGTATCTCCTGCGCATCAATCCTCTGAGAACCTCCCGCAATAATCGAGCTCACAGCTCCAGTTCCTAGAACTCGAGAGTATACAAGACGCTTATCATCCGCCTCAATTTCCTCCAATCCTTCCAACCCTGTTAAGGAAAATCTCCTCTCACAAGAACCTACTCCGCTATGTACATCTGCTCTCGATCCACCTCTATCCACAGCATTTCTCCCTCGAACACTAACGCATGATCTAACATCCAAACCCCCACTGTCTCCTCCTCCTCCACGGCCTGAAGGGTGACGAGGGGGTGACCGACGACCACCCCCAACCATAACTGAAAGATCTAACGATCCACCCCCTCCGACGAGAATCCAAACCGAGAGAAAAAAATCCTCCCAAAAATCACCGCGATTTCCCTAGAGCGATCATCCAAAGCAGAGAGAGAGAGGAGTTGAGAGAGAGAGAGATAGATAGATAGAGAGAGAGAGAGAGTGAGAGGGGGGAGAGAGAGAAATAGTAGAGGAATGGAGAGAGAGAGAGATAGAGAAAGAGAGAGAGAGAGAGGGGGGGAGACAGAGAGAGGGAGGGGAGAGGGAGAGAGAGAGAGGGAGGGGAGAGGGAGAGAGAGAGAGAGGAATGGAAAGGGAAAGAGAGAGAGATGGAGAGAGTGAGAGAGAAGCAATAGAGGAATAGAGAGAGAGAGGGAGATAGAGAGAGGGAGGGAGAGAGAGAGAGAGGGAGGGAGAGAGAGGAGAGAGATGCCATAGAGGAATTCAAAGAGAGAGAGAGAGAAGGAGAGAGAGAGGAAATAGTGAAATGGAAAGAGAGAGAGAGAGAGATAGAGAGAGAGAGAGGCAAAAGAGGAATAGAAAGAGATAGAGATAGAGATAGAGAGAGAGAGAGAGAGAGAGAGACAGAAGCAAGGGAGAGAGGATTTTCTACGAGAGATGAGAGGAGAGAGATGAGAGAGAGAGAGAGGGAGAGAGAGAGAGCAGGGAATGGAAGAGAGAACTGGTAAGGAGCAGAGATGGAGAAGAAAGAGATGACAGAGGAGAAAGTAGAGAGAGAGAGAGACAGATAAAGGAGAGAGAGTGAGTCAGAGTGAGAGAGGAGCAAGAGCAAGTGAGAGAGAGAGGGGAGAGATGCCTGGAGAGGAGTCTGAATATCCTGCATTTGCATTCATCTAAAAAAAGCTTATTCAAGAAGACTATCAATAAAAACTAATGCCTCATTTGGCATTCGTACGAGAAAAGAAAAGTAACTATCTTCCTTAAGGATTCTAAAAAAAACTCTGAGAATATCTTTATCTCGCTATATCCAAAGAAAAAGAACTATCCCACTTCCCTCTGTCGCCGCCAGCAAAAGTGGGCCTGCTGACTATTGAAACCTGTTCTATAACGGCTATGGAACAATAAGATACCTTTGGAACTATCTGTCAAGCCCAATCCTGTCTAGGTGCAATCCTGTCCCCAGGTGCAGGCTTCCAATCTAAATCCCTTATAGCAAGGAATTCTGGCATGTATTCTGATCACGGCCTGCATATCTCACCTCTAATATGACTCGCATAAAAACAAACCATCCAACCAGAAAGGACCTTTTGTCAATGTAACTAAAGCCAACAATTCAATCACTGTGGTGCTTCCCCAGGATGTGTTCATACCACCACCAGAGCTGCAGCAATCGCTCTCCTTCATTAAATCTCTATATACAATTCGCAATATATCCCATCCCTATACGCTTCGAATTCGATCCAAACTCCATCCAGTTAAATTTTCAGCCATCGCTGTAGG